GTCCTATACATAGCAATGTAACATTATTTGGTATTTATCTAAAACAAAAGTAAATGGGCCAGACAATGCCAATATACTTTATCACGGTGGTGAACATAATTTATAATGAAAGGGAATCAGGGGATTAGAAACAACAATAATGTTTGTTATTAAGTAATTGCTTCTGCTCCCATATTGGATATTTTTGACCTCTTCCCTACTGATAGAATCTTGTAAATATACAGCTTTTTACCATCCCCTCAAGCCTGGCTTTGATATGCAGGTACCTTACCAACTAACCATTGATTACATGTAAGGGGATATTCTGTTAAGGTAAAATATTACCAATGGAGACAGTATGACTTATTCACCACTATGAAATCAGACGCCTGGGGCTGAGCGTCAGCGCACGCTCTGGATCTGCAGAAACATTTCTCTGTTCGAAATAATCCAGTGAATAGTTAATGAGCAAGCATTGTTTATAGCGCAACCAGGGAAGTGAGGATGTAAGGTAATATGGAGCATTAATTATGTAAGACACCTAGCACACTCGAAAAACCCACCCCCTAAAATAACCCATCTTGAACTTGGAAAGTCAAGTGTGTGTTTCAACTTTACAGTAGGTGAGAAGAATAGGAGGGGACACATGTAAAACCAATATTGTATTACATCTGTAAGGTACCATTACTTCACTTAAATATTTCCATTTGATGCAAGTTTATACATCTACTCATCTAGATTTTAAATAGAAATATTGTACTTGTTCATAGACTGATGTATTCCTATGTCCTCCCTTGTTCCTATAACTCTTTATGAGTCACAATAGTAGATAAGGAATGCAATAAATAGAAGACTCAGAAGGGTATCAACTGAAACCAATGATCTCTCTCAGATTTCCCCCCATAATTCACTTATCCAACAGTAGAGGGCGCTCATTTCCCACATACCATTGGGATGGTGGATGCCCCAAAGCTTACTGTTTGAAGCTCAGTGTGGCAACATGAGTGCATAAGATCTGCACCTCAGAACTGTTCCCTCCTTTTCATCATCTACTCACAAAACTTCACCACTGAGGGGTGAAAAATGAATAGACTATTTATTACACCTCCAGGTTATCGTGTGGCAAGAGACTATACATCACTGAATTTCCATAATTAAATATGAAGGCTATAAATGAAAGTTAGTAAAAAAAAATGCTGTGGCAGCAGTTAGTACGCCTGTTGATTATTCTGTTGAGTCCCAGAAATCAAATGAGCAGAGGAGTCAATGTTTTGTATCCTTTTGTCCAAAGGGATTGTCATGATGCATGTGATGGGCTATATTTGAGACAATCTTACATTTCCTGTCTAAGAGAAGCTACTGCATTGCTTCCCATTAGAGCTCAGCGAGGTGCAGGGGCCACGGCAGGCTGTAATCACCATGGGAGACCAAGCAAAGTGTGAACCATGTAATTTGGACAGGCAGAGCAGCTCAGGCACCAAAGGAGAAACTGCTGCTGTGGAAATTGACAAGTGCTTTACAACATTTCACATAAAGAGGCATTAGCCATCACCTCTCAGATTTAGAAACGGAATGGGAAAATCACTGTGACCATGTATTCACAAATGCCATGGTGGACTAGAACTAAGTACTTTCATTCAATTGTCGTTCTGAAGTACAATTTTGAGGCTCCTAGAAAATTGTTTCCATGTAATGCTATTTTACACTTTTATAGTACACTGAATTTTGTACTGCACCATCTGTCAGCTGCTGTTTCTAGTTTCTTTGCACAAATACTGACTAAAAGCATCTAAAGCTTAGTTACAAAACCAGCCACAACATTAATAGATGCTGACGTGTTAATTCATTCATCAAAATAATATAATAATATAATAGTGTGTATACAAAAGTAAAATATGACAAGAATGGCAATTTTTCCCTTTGAATAAGTTTACCTTTAATACATCACTTTTGTTCACCATTGTGACTAGTAACATTATACTTAAATTGCACGTTATTCTTTATTTTATTAGAACCATTAGACATACGTTTTTTATTAATGTTACTCTTAATTGGATGCATTTTTAGGAAAAAATGATTTAATTTAACTTTTCGTTTTAAATAAGCTTTGGTAAAAATATACAAAACTGCAAGCAAATGAAACATCATATACAATATACAAAATGATGTGACACAAGTGTTATTGAGAGTCATATTGAAGACATTTGACTGGACAGATTCAAAGTAGTGCTGGTCAAAGCATAATAGCATGGCACAAAGGAGGTCTGATCGGTGTTTAGCCATCTTGATTGAGGAATATCTTATAGTACATTATCATGAATTAAAAAAAGATTCTGAAAAACAATTTATTTTAGGCTAAGTGTGCAGACCACATTTGTACACTGCAGTTATTGTTTGCCTTGCACCTGGATATTTTGCACACTTAGTCCCGCTTCAAAATTATAATTATAACCATGCTGGCTGATTTCAATTGAAATATGTGTCTCACTACATTGACGCAATATAAGTTAAGCTACAGCAACATTGCAGACCTAGTTTAACATTTTACACTGAACCAAATTCGTTCCTAAATTATGGAAGCCTGTTTGCGCCACAGGAAAAAAAAAAAAAAAATCCTGGCAGGAATGACTTACTATCTCATTATAATGACTTACTATCTCATTATAATGACTTACTATCTCATTATAATGACTTAGCTATCTCATTATAATGACTTACTATCTCATTATAATGACTTACTATCTCATTATAATGACTTAGCTATCTCATTATAATGACTTACTATCTCATTATAATGACTTACTATCTCATTATAATGACTTAAAGGTAGGGTAGGTAAGTTTGAGAAACCGGCTCGAGATCGCTAGAATTTGAAAATACACAACCGGAGAAAATCTGCCACTTCCTTACAGAGCCCCTCCTCCAACACACACGAACGCGCACATGACCAATGAGGGCACGAGATAAGTTTGTGCACAGATGGAAGGCTGACAGGCAGGTAGGCCATCCAGTTATTTTAGCCGGGCCGGCTAAAATGAGTGGTCGTACTTTTTACAGTATTACGGCTTCCACAGATGACATTTTTTTATGGATTTTTTGTCAAAGCACTTAAGATATTCATTGCTATCGGGATGTTAAGAGCATTCTATGGAATATAACAAAAAGTGTATCTCGAGCCGGTTTCTCAAACTTACCTACCCCACCTTTAATATCTCATTATATTGACTTAGTTATCTCATTATATTGACTGAGTTATCTCATTATATTGACTTATATTGACTTAGTTATCTCATTATATTGACTTAGTTATCTCATTATATTGACTTAGCTATCTCATTATAATGACTTACTATCTCATTATAATGACTTACTTTCATATAAGAGCAATTTTTAAATTAGCTTTCATCCCTTTACACCAAAGCAACAATAGCAAGTGTGTGGGACACACTTAGCTGAACTAATGGATACTATAATTGAAGACTACTTTAGACGCGGATTCACAAATAAGGACATTTTAGTGGTTTTGGAGGAATCACACAATATTAAACTAAGCCTACGGACACTACAGAGGAAGCTACAAAAGAACAAGCTTTGGCGGAGAAAAAATAAGACAAATCGTTGTGATGAGGATGTGTTTCACCTTTGAACTAATGTCTGAGCACAGCCTGGCAAAGTCAGAGGATGTTTATGAAATTACGGACCTCTATGTAAAACTTTGACGAATGATTATTGATGAGCTGGGGGAATAGAGTATGGTTTTGTTCTTTGCGAAAAATCGCCACCTTAATAGGCCTACCAGTATACCAATATGCTCTGAAATATTCATTGTATCAGAAATGTAGGCCTGCAGGTACAGTAGATACACTTTGCAAAGTTTGCAGGCTCCTTCGAAGTTGCTCTTGTTACCAGTCCTCTGTCCAAGGGCTTGATTGTGACAGTGACTGCATGCATCAGTCAAAGTGTGCATGGTAACTCTATAGTCTGTGGTGCTGAATAGTACATTAATAGGTAATCTTCAACAAGGTGTTTTAGAAGATCATGCAATGTAGTGAGTATCAGTTTAATAATGTCCATATTATTCCCAATATGTAAATAATGTTATTTAATGTACTCTTTTGTATCAATGTATGCACCTTTTTTGGCACACAGCACACAGCTAAGTCATTATAATGAGATAGTAAGTCAATATAATGAGATAGCTAAGTCAATATAATGAGATAACTAAGTCAATATGATGAGATATTAAGTCAATATAATGAGATAACTAAGTCAATATAATGAGATAACTAAGTCAATATAATGAGATACTCAGTCAATATACTGAGATATTAAGTCAATATAATGAGATAGTAAGTCAATATAATGAGATAGTAAGTCATTATAATGAGATAGCTAAGTCATTATAATGACTTACAGGATTTAAAAAAAAAATGTCCTGTGGCGCAAACAGGCTTCCATACTAAATGCTATCAATATGAAAAATACATCATACCATATAAAATATGTAATAATACAAATAATACAATTGATAATACAACATTGTAATGTATATTATAGGCTTTAAGTGTCACAATTAATATTGATATAGGCCTACATGGCCAACCTTGCACCCAACTACCATAGCAATAATCTCATTTTTATCTCAATTTCCTTCATGGTCCATGTGTTTTGAAACAGCAGCTGCATGCCATCTGCAACTGATTTAGTTTGATGTATTATTACTGTCCACCATTTATTGTCTTTAGCTCTGGTTTGACACAATGCTCTGTAAACAGATAGACACAGAGGACATCCTGTGTTTTGAGAGAGATTCATTTTTGGATCCGTGAAGAACAGGACCTTAAAATTAACATGTTGTTGCCATGGTGACGGAAACACGCTAATCCAAAATCTTCCACAATGTTTACGGACATTTAGAAACGTTGGGTTTAAGTGGAAACACTACGCTCTTTAACTAAAGACTTAAAACACTTTCCTTTACCAGAAACACATTCAAATAAAGATAGGAGCGGTGGGGATCGGTCACATCGGTGGAGACGCCCATCGCCTCCTAACGGATCTGATTTATAACTAGTGGGGATTTATTGGCAGTTAAAACTCTGCGTTGAGTCAAGGTTAACAGAAGGACCAACAGTAGAACTAACGGTTCATACTTCAATATGAAGAGCCCAGGATACCTGGAATATATCTACTGGGGGGAAAAGAGGATCCTCTTCTCATAAGGTAAACGGATTGACACGGGAATATTGCCTTGGTCGCCACTGCTATCGTCAGCCTGGTTACCTTTAAGCAATGCCGTGGTTAGTTAGCTACTTAAGCTAAGTTTAACTAACCATTCCGAGTTAGCTAACGGAACCACAGTTATATTTAGTTCCTAAAAGTTCAGCCAGGTGTATATTTAATAACTAACTAACCCATGTCACAACATTTACTTAGGTGTTTGACGTTAACTTACTTACCTAGTCAAAATGTCATGCAACCTTGTTAACCAACAGGACATCCTTGCTAAAATAAACAAAGTAAATAACTGAAAATAGACTGTTATTGATGATAAACAGTGTTGAAGAAGTACTCATATCCCTTAGGTAAAGTGCAAATACTATGGTCTTAAAAGACTCCACTATAAGTAAAAGGTGTGATTTTAAAATGATTAAAGTACAAATGTATTAACATCAAAATGTACTAAAAGAACCAAAAGTAAAAATACTAATTATGCACAAAGACACGTTTCAGAATAATATAAAGTACAGAAGTATTAGCAGCTAAATACACTTCAAGTATCAAAAGTAAAAATAGTCGTTATGCAGAATGGATATTTTCACAGTATTTTATTATAATAGTTATAATATTATCCTGTTTTTCATGCATGCAAAAGCATTTTAGTGTTGTAGTTAGAAATGATGGTGATTAGTAGTACAGTATTGCATTATATCATATCAGCATATCATGTGTTGTTGTATGTGTACAATTAGAAGTATAATGCATAATGTTAAATACTTAAGTAGAGTACAACTATGTCAAAAAAGTACTTAAGTGCAATCCTTGAGTAAATGTATTTAGTTACTTTGTGATCAATCAAAAATGTATACCAAGGTTATAAATGTTAGCGTTGAGTGTAGACTATTTATCTGGATGCATAATTTTTTTTCGTTTCTTGATTTCTTGGTGTATTTTCAGGTGGAAGGGAGAAAAAAGTATAGGAGAAGATGGTGAGAAATAAACATATTGGAGGGCGGCTCAATCGCTCTTCCACGGGCAAGAACCAAAAGGCTGGCTCCCAGATTTCAAGCAGCAAGGACCTGACACCTCCAGATAAACCAGCCGAAGGTGACATCCCAGCTAATTCTCCCGAGCTCCAGACCACCAGCCAAGGTCAGCTGGGTTTTCCGGACAGAGTCTACCTGCTTGCATCATTCATCTTTCAGAATCACCACCTGGAGAAGCCCCCTGCCCAACGGTTGGTGAGTTATGGCAAAGGAAGAGGACTCTCCCTACCCAGAGTCAAAGATGAGGAGATGCGTACAGCCTACGAGCTGGCCTTCAATACACTGAAATGTGAGTTTGTAGATGACTGAAAGAGTGAAGTTTGTTGCATGTTTAAACTGTTTTTCCCTTTTACCGTCCATCTTTCTTTACTCTGTCAACATTGCAGGTATGTACAAACCAACACACTTTATAAACTTATATTGTGTTTTGGAGAACTTGTTCAGTGAGGACATCAGCTAAGAATGTTCAGCCCCATCTATGTTGATTCATTTCAAGATTCAATACCTTTTTACCATTTCAACATAGGTGATAGGTAAAGGTTTAGTGAACTCACAACAACCAAAGAGTCAGATGAAATCTGTGGTAAAAACAAGCTTTTATCACCTGAGGCAGCTATAGCCAAAGTAAAACCTTTTCTCTCCAGACAGCAGTTTGAGACAATAATCCACGCCTTTGTCACCACTCAGCTGGATTACTGTAACTCTCTCTACATGGGGGTCAGTGGGTCCTCCCTCGCTCGTCTGCAGCGGGTGCAAAATGCCGCAGCGGGTGCAAAATGCCGCAGCAAGGCTTTTAACTGGCACACGGAAATATGACCATTTCCCCCATTTTGGCTTCGCTCCACTGGCTGGCAATACATTTTAGGAATCATTTAAAAATCCTTTTGTTTACTTTTGAATCCCTAAATGGCATGACCCCACCATATCTTTCTGAGCTGCTACACCCTTACACGCCCAACCGCCCTCTCAGGTCAGCGGATCAACTGCTCCTGAACGTGCCCAGAACCAAGTCAAAGCTCAGAGGGGGCCGTTGCTTCTCTGTAGCGGCTCCCACACTGTGGAACGATCTGCCCCTGCACATCAGACAGGCTGCCACACTGCCTGCTTTTAAATCGCTTCTTAAAACCCACCTCTTCTCCTTAGCGTATTAACATCTTTTAGAGCGTTGCTTTTATTGCTTTTAAATTGTCTATTGTTTTTACTTGTACTTGTTTTATGGTGTGTGAGCTGAGCTGTGTTACTTTTTGTATGTTTTGTTTATTTGACTGTACAGCACTTTGGTCTGGAGGTTTAAAGTGCTATATAAATAAAGCTGTATTGTATTGTAACAAAACAAGATAAACCCACAATTGTACAGTTAACTTACCACCTTAGGACACAGAAATAAATTAAGTTATGATAAAAAATGAAAACAAGCATTCCCATCAGGTTGATAATTGCAAGTGAAGCCTATTTGATTCCAGGCAAACAAAGAGCCGTTTCACATCAGAATGAATAGCTCGGGGGACATTAATTGACAGGTAGAATTGGATATAGATAGATTGATGAAGGAAAAGTAGAAGAGAAAAAACGCTTGAATGACCAGGGGGAATTTAGAGTGAGTCTACAAATCAATCCAGCACATAATCTGTTATCTGGGACTCGGGTGGGGTCTGGGTGGCCGAAGTCACAGGGGTGTGTAATCACCATGGCGATAAGGTAGAAGAGCTGAGCCGACTGTCAGTGCAGGAAGCTGGCTGGAATCGATTTAATACGTTCTCAGTGGATAGAGAGGTCAGGTAGCAGGAACACCCTTGTGGCCACAAATGTTTTCTTTCCTTCCCACTATCTTTCCGATGGACTTAGAAAAGCCTCAGGCTTACATCCCACAATTAATGCAGATCACCTCAAATATCCATCATCGCTGGGCCAGGCTGCGGTAACCTGCAGTATCATTTATTCAGCTGTAGGTCACTCATTACAAGGTCAAATCAACTAGATTGCTAAGGATAAACTAATAAGAGAGAACTTCAAGATCATATTGCCAGGACATGGTTGTCATACATCACTATGTTCTTCTACCTATAAGAGTATGTATACATTATACAGACATGCGCTTATTTCAAAGACAAATATTCCCTGTCTTATCAGTGCTAGACTCATACAGTTCTTCTTCTTGGTCCCCCTCCCACATCTGACAGTTCTAGAATTAGTACATTTTAAAGCTTCAGCCACTATAGGGTACTGAAACAAGCTTTAACAGATTCGGAGCTTCGCATGTTATTGTTATAGCTTACAGGATAGGCAGATACCAGCACTGGTTACATGTATTGATCTTTACCTATTAGTTTTTTACATACACAACACTTCACAAAACAAAGTAGGAGTTATCCTTGGAATGAGGTTAAATCAGTTTATGTTTCTACTGTTGTTATCGCACAGCAAATCAATGGAACATCTTTTGATTTTGATCATAGAGACTATAGAGATCGTTGATCACATCGCATGATCACATAAGTATTTTGGTCACATGTAAGATTCACTTGCGCTGGCTGTGTGGGGAAATTGGGTGCTGATGAAATGAACAGCCTGGAAGCCAATGTTAATCTCTCCTCCTCCTCCCACGAGCAGCCTGACTGCTGGGTGCAAAAAAAATGGATTTGCAAGTGACACACACCTATGCTGGCAGCCACACACATTATACACACACATACACACAAGACACATCATTTGTGCACTGCCTTGGAATGACTGATGCAAAATTGAGCTGAGGTCAGTTGTTCACCTGAGGAAGAAATGCTTGAGCAGCGAAAACAAGCAGAGCAAAATGCCAATGAGCTCTGGTATTGATCGTGTGATTATAACTCTTATTTGCTTAAAACAAAAAAGACCCTCAGTAAGCTCCACACCACTGGCTGAGGACACAGACTTGACCGTTGCTGTAATTTATTGTCAATACTAAAAAATGGAGCGGAAGTTAGAGCTGATGTTTTCCCTGGTGTCTTGGATGTGGCATTTTGTAGACAAAGACGTAGCAGAAGTCTGCCAAATGAGAAATATTAGCAGTCAAGTCGTTTCGCCTTCTCTTCCCTGTCTCCAATAACTTCATTTGTTCTCTTTTTTATATCTTCAGGGCTTTGGTATCTTTGACCTCTTTTAAAAATCCTGTTGTGAGTGACTGTGCTTGATCACTGACCTAGAGGCAGTTTATGTTGTCAAGGTTTCATTTCCTGTTGATTTGTTTCCCCTTGTGTTCTTCAGGGCCTGAGGGTGATGTGCGGTTGTTATGAAGCTATGTTAAGTTATTTTTGAGTGAACATTTACTGGCAAAAGTAGTTGACCTTGTTGCTGGCCATGAGAGCGCCCCCCCCTCCTCCTCCCTCTCTCTCCCGTCTCCACTGCTACTCCTCTGAGTATTTCTGCCTCATTGTCCATACTGTCCAGCTGGGCTGCCAGACGCCCTTGTCAGATGACAGTGGCTGCTGTATTGTCTGTGTGCAACTATAAAGATTCTTTGGACCACTTTGTGTTGGATTTAGAGCATAAGAGACCAGAAAGACATTTTTGTCCTTGACCACAGTCAGAACAGCAAACACCAGTTTGGCACAGCACATTTAGAATAAAAGCAGGTGCATAATATGTAAGATAGATTTGCCATTGAGTCCAAAGGTGACTTTAAGGCACGTACCCTTTTTTTGGTAAGGTCCTTTGTTAGATTAATGTGCAATCTGGTGCACTGATGCGGAACATGGTGAGACAGAAACCTGGCCAGGAGAAGTGGAGTCTGCATTCAGGTCAGGCTCTTTCACTGAGGATTTGTTTGACTGCAGTCAACATCAGTCACTGCTCATTGTGGAATACCTGGAAGCCACACAACATCAACACTGAACTAGTGGCTCTTGCTGGTTTAGGATTCAAGCTTTTTCTTGTCAGAATAATTATAATTTGTTTTTATTTTATGTCAAATTCTAGAGTTAGGACTTCTGTGTTTTACTCGAACTACTGTGTGTGCTTTAAAGCATGCAGGAAGAGTGTGACCATCTACAGACCCAGCCATCGGGGGCTCTCTCAGGGGTCTGAGCCTCTCTGTTGTGCACTGAGTGTGTATCTCTTCTGGGCTTATCTTAAAGGCCTTCTGCAGTAATAGCCACTATTGAAAACCCCATTGACCTGAACCTGCTAAAACTGATACCACTTCTGATGAGGTGCATTTGTTTCCTCACTTAAAGATAAGCTCTATTTCACACATGCAAACGTTTGTGTGTGTTTGTCCTGACCTACACACTCTCTTCGCCAGCATGCATTTGGCTGAGACCCAGGGTACAGTTTGGCATGATTTGAGATGTTGTGATAAGTTAACAGCAGTGTCTGTGGTTTCCATGGTGTCTCAGCGTACAGGCTGGGCTCAACTCATTTTTGCAGTTTAAGAGGTTTGTCTGTCAGGAATAAGAATGAACCAAGAAGGAAACCACGCGTGTGGTGCACAAACAAAGTGCACCAGCATATTGATGTTGAAACCCTGGGTTCTTGCAACTAACTCAAACACATGCACCTCATTACCGTCTTTTATTTACCTCTCTGCAGTAACAAAAAGGCTTTATTTCAACCTCACTAGAAACACATTAGCGAAATTATCTTTTTGCCCATTTCCAGTGTGTAATGAGCAAACACTGTACCCGCAGAGGGGCTTTGGAAGAAGCGGTTTTTAAAATCCTGACGTGGTAAATTGGATAATGTTGCCAGATCTCCATCTCCCTCATGTTTTAAAGGGAAGCCTACTGTTCACAGATGGGATTGGAAGGGATAAGTCTGTGTGTGACTTCAGAGAAAAAGCATCCTGTAGGCTAGACAGAAGGATGCTGCCTTTATGATATGACAGCCATATACAGATCCAATAGGCAGCTCAAAACCTCTAAAATTGTATAGTGTACTTTCCCGATTTCATACAGAAGGCCACAGACAGATTAGATTAAGATACATTGGTGTAGTAAGGACGAAAAGGTAATATCCCAAAGATTCTACACGCGATGTCCTGTTTGTTTATAATATAAAAATGGATGATAAGACAGTCATGTTTGTCAATCAAGTCACCAGTTCATGTCGAATAAAATAAAGAAGATAACAAGTCATACAAACATAGGCACGATATAGTCGGGTTTGACATAAATGCTTGCCTGTTATGTTTGACTTGTGTATTACCTCAGATATCTTTATTGTCACAAGTACCTCAATTACCCACAGCCCACAACAGACACACACCCCACCACAGACAAAAGAAATGAAAGAAATGAGGCGAATGAAAATTAAGAATAACTCTAATTAAGCGTAAAATAAGCGTTTAATCACGGCAAATTAAACCCCCCATCTAATTAAATTATCCGTTTAGATGAAATGTGGGGTGCCTCTAGGAGCCTCTCTTGCTCTTGGTTCTAATCTATTTTCTCCATTTTTTTCTAGACACGTTCACATCATTAGATATAGATTTGTCCTCTGTAGCATATTACCAGTAATGGATAGTACTTATTTCTTCTGCCTTATTTCAGGATAATTAGACATTGATATAAAAGATGGCCCAGATATGCATCGTAATTACTCAGACACATAATTAGTAATGGAAATCCCTATCATCGCATTCCCATGCTGCCTAATCACTTCTATATCACTTTACATTTCTGCACAGATCAAGAGCTGCTGGAGGACATCATGATTGACAGCTGCTTTTACCTCACTCAGCCAATGGTAAGTCAGTACATTTGGAGCAATGTATTTTAATACAGCAATACTTTAAGGCAAGTAAACATGTTTAATCCATTGGTGTATTTATTTATATTTCATTTATACATCCTTTTGATTCTGGGAATAGCTAGACACTTTGTTTGCAGCGTTGTTTACCTCGAGCTGTTTTTCTGAACCCTTTTGCTCACAATCCTTTGACAGTGCTTTAACTCAGTGCTCTCCAATATTCATGACCCGCTGTTATACTCCACATACCCTTTGTTCTTTTCTCTAGACCTCTAATCAGTAGCAGTAATATTGACGTATTGCACTGATATTCTCCTTTCATCCACTCACAAAGCACCTCGTGTCTTTCATATTCCCTTCCCTAATCAATGACAAATTGCTCCCTTGGAGTAACACATCTGAAAGGTACTTTGAGGCAGAATATTCCTGGCCTTGTCTTTATTACCTTTGTCAAGCAAACCCCCCATAATAAGGGATGAAATCAGAATGCAGTAGCAACCCAGGGGCACTGTGTTTGGATGATGTTGCTTCTGAGTGTATTCTGCACAGTGTGTATCCTACATGTGTCCCTAGAACCAGTGTGCTGAATGTTATTAGCGATTCGAAGTCTGTGCTGCGTAGTCATACAAAAAGAATCCCGGCACAGCACCCTACCTGCGGCTGTTAGGCAGGAGATGAACGTTCTGCTTCTTCAATGAAAAAGCATCCTCTGGAGGAGATTGGCATGTACTTTTGCCCTACTTTATTTTTCAATCCACATAAAAAGAAGTTGTGAAAGAGGAGGCTGCTTCTCAGACTGTCTGGATGGTGATAAAAACATGCACAGACCTAGTTTGTGTGCACGTAGCGGATAAAAGGATAGAAGAGTCATGAACGCAAGAATGTGATGCTGAAGTTGTTAACCAGAAAACCGATCTGTCTTGGAGTGTACAGACTGTAGACAGCCAATGTCTACTTCAGATGGAAACATACACACACACACACATTACTTTGCAAAGCAACCTGCCCCCTCCCACACACACTCACACTGTAGCCTTGTGAAATATGGCCCCGTGTGAAATGAATGGGTCTCCCTATGTGTTGGTGGCAGGTCGTTACTCTGCATCCCTCGAGTGAGACAATAAAGCCCATACACAATGAGACAGACTTCAGCGCTCACATCTTACCTCCTTTTACACTGCTGGGCAATCTATAAAGTTTCACCTTGATGGAGAGAGCAGAAAGACGTGGGTGACGGGGATAGCATGCTGGAGAAAGGGGGGGGGTACAATGAGGATATTAAGAAGAAAAAAAAGAATGAAAAATGAAGTTATAGATAGACCTGCATGCTGAGAGAGCCTGAGGCGCCTTTGATCAGAATTGAATGAGAAAATGAAGCCTTAATCCTTTGGAGGACGGAAATGAGTGACATTGTAGATGTGAGGCAAACCTATTAGGTACACTGGTACTTTTCACATGAAATAGCCATAGCGACATTATGTAAAAAGGCTATATTAGATTTTAACTATGTCTACATTCTTCTGGGCAATTTTACCATCTATTATTAAGCACTTTAGCTTTAGCACTAACTTTGTTTTCAAATCCATGTCATGGTCATTTCATTCAATTGAAAATAAGTCTAAATAAAGTGAGGCATCTTCATTTCTTATTTCATAGCAGGCCTCAGCACAGCAGCATGTTTACTGGAGACCTGTTTTCCATGGGGTGCTGTTGCCAGGAAACGTAATGACTGGGAGGTCCCCACACCCATGGGGTTTAACCTTGGTAAAGGACAAGTGGAACTTAAGGCAGAGGGGATGAGGTGAGAGAAAGGAAAAGTGGAGCGCCACACTCCCGTCTCTGGAAACGCCTTTCCCCAAAAATTGAAATTGAAAGCCTCCGGAATGAATATAAGCATTGACTATTCCTTCGCTGCAGCAGAACCCTTGTAGCGTTCCTGTTCTCGGCCCATTAGCCCGTAGTGAGAATGTTTTCAAGCTGTTGCTGCTGCGGAACAACCATCTGCCACTAATGCGGCTGGTGCCCTCTCCCACCCTTAGGGACAGAAAGGTGGAGTGAGAGAGAGAAAGACATAGAGATGGGGGAGAGAGAGAGAGAGAGACAGGGGAGAGCGCTGAATGGATTGAGATAATGCAGAGGAGGAGATGGAGAGACATTACTTAGCTTCCTCCTATGTTTAATTAAGTGGCAGCAGTGGGGTCATGGCAGGACATCTGTAAGCTACGGTGTTATACTGACTAGTGTGTGTGGATATATACGTCTCCAAATGAATACAAATAATGAGAATCACAGCACTGTGCACCTCATTAGGTAACCACAAACAAATTACACTATTAACCAATGTCAAGCTGTGTTGGTTTTATGCACATTTTGATGTTCTTGTACCTTATCTGCAACTGATCTTTGAGGTCTGACCATCCACTTATTAAATTCTTGTGTCTCAGTTATCTTAGGAAAAATCTGATTTGTTATATTATGCAGCTTCTCGACTCTCTTGTTGAAACAGAAGTCACCAATCAACCATACTTTATTTCTTCTCGTGCTCTAGCCAGATGATCAGATGTGCCTTGTTGCCATCATGCTCTACGACTTCCAGGACAGAAAGTTTCTCCCAAGGGAACGTCAACGGGACAGCGAGATTGAACAGGAAGTCAGAGATGTGGAGAAGTACCTCCTTAGGTAAGATATGAAAAACAACACAGGGAATAAAGAACCCAAACTTGGAGTGGATTTACTAAAGGTATAGAGTGTGTGTTGGACGCAGGTTTAAAACCAAGCTGGCAGCCTCTCTGGCGCGCTGCAGGATCAAACATGATCTCCTGTCCATCGAGTGTATCCTGCCGGAGAGTTTGAAGACGAAGCAGGAGAGATCAAGCAGCCTTCCACTCTACGCATGGGTCAACACGCTGGAGAGCAGGTAAGCTGAGCACACTCAAACACACACACCTCGCCAGAGCAGATTACACACACCTGTACTGTACATGCACACCTGTACATAAACCCAGGAATGCACTGTAAGCATATAAAGTGTGTGTAAGCATGTCCACACACACACACACACACACACACCTGCATCTACTCGGAGACCTTTAAGTTGGGGTGCTGTCCAATGTTTTATGGGCTAGGTGCACAGCTGACATCCAATTAAACCACTGGACAGTGTGTGTGAGCGTGTGTGTGTGTCTGTGTGTGTGGTCCAGTGTGTGTTCTCTCAGGCGCCCCGACTGATTCAGTTAGGTGTAAATCCTGCTGCTGTGGACAGATTCAATCAGCAACAACCCTCAGCCAGCTGTAGGACTGTAAAGGTCACCTGTTGGGACTAGTGGTGTGTGTATGTGTGTGTGTGTGTGTGCGCATGTGTGTATTTGAATGGCTTTTACAACACATTTTACTGCTAAAGTCTTTTAAAAGGCCACACAGCAATTCTACGCTCTATTATTATCCATAATGACAGTCTTCCTCTCTCTTCCACCTCTCACCTTCTTCCCTCCTTCCCTCTCTTGGGCTTCCACTAATCTCCTCTCCTCTGTCCTCTCCTACAGCCTTGATGAGGTCCAAAGTGTGCTGAAGAGTGCGGGATTCTCACAGGTGAAATCGATCGGTCAGCTGGAGGGCGAGACCTTCTGCCAGGATCCCCACTGTGGGGATATACTGGTGTTCCCTGCTCAGCTCAAAGCTCAGCTGTCCACCACCAAGCTGCTTAGCAACCACAAACTCATCATCCAGGTACAAGCTTCACAGAGAGGAGGCATCTGACAAGACCCCCCCCCCCCCCCCCCCCCCCCCCCCCTCTCTGCAGATTTGATATGGCTGTGGGAATCTGTTCAGCACCATCAATCTCCTGTGATATTATGGACTTGCTCAAATTGATCATAACAATGACCCCTAATGCCAACTAAGATTAGTTTTCTCAGATACAAATATTTCACATTAGTTCCTCTCATCGGGCCATTCCTCACTTTGATTCATAAAGAATCCTCCAGTCCGGGAGGGGGAGAGCGGTATCATCATTTATTTTCTACTCCATTAAAGTCAAGCTTGCATGCAAACTGTAAGCCGCGCACAGCACCACAACACAATTAAATCATACAAATATTCCACACCCCTGCCTAATTAATAACCTCTCCCTCTCTATTAGATTTTCTCTCCTCTAGTTTCTCTCTGTTCAAATGTCCTTGTTCTTCTCCACCCTGGATTGTCTTTCTTCACAAACCAACCATAAGGATATTAACTGATGAAACTCAAGCCAGCCCGGTGGTCCCACAGGGAATCATTCAATACTATTTCCAGAAGGGACCCCACTGTTTGAAGGACATCTTTGTTGTAATCTGACTGATCTGTTACTCTCAGCATTTCTCTGTATTCCTCCCCTTGCCTCCCCTCCGTACCTGCTTTGCAACAGCTGTTCCACGCTCCCTCACCCCTCTCATCTATTCCCACCTCAATTCCATTTACAACTTTCATACAGAGCACCTCTCCTATCTCCTATCTCCTATCTTAATCTGTGTCTCCTTTTGCAGAGTGTTGCCGCTGTGCAGAAAACCTGAATGTAGACATATTATGCTGACGGTCTCTAATGCTTTCACTCATTGTGTCTGTAGGATAAGTCCTGCAGCCTGGGCCCACAGGCCGTGTGCTCCCTGCTGCCAGAAGAAGGAGATGTTCTTATGTTGGGATGCTTCTCCGCCCTCACCGTCTCCCACACTGCCTCCCTGGTTGCGGAGAAACGTAAAGGAGTTGGCAGCAACCGGCCCACAGTCTACGTTTGTGTCAGTGACCGTACAGACGCTCAGAGGGAGGAGCTGCAGCAGGCCGTCACCGCCATGGGCTGCAGGAGTACGGAAAACATGTGTCCATGAATGCAGCATCTGTTTGTGTCTTTGTTTTCTTCACTCCGAAGCTCTTTATTCAGTGTCCTTTACGTCAATGAAAGACACAATGAGAAACGGGATATGCTTTTTTCAGCAATGTTTACTCTGTCAAATGATTATATTTGATACATTTTGTCAGGCTTTTTAAAGACCAAATGCATCAAATATTTGGGGTATTTAGACGGCGAGTCTTGGTTAAATCATTGTTAGTTTCAAATGCTCACAAGCATGCTCTAAAACCAATGTATTCTGATATCCTGAGCTGAATGTAAATATAATATGCGAATGGTTGCTGCATCTCAGCGACTGTAGTCATTAGAGAAACAATAAAGCGCGTATTACACAGCTGACAATGCAATAATTGCAAAAGATGCCTTCAGGCACGGTATTTTACTATGAATAAATAGACACTGTAAATAGACTTTAAGCATTGAGAACATTTTTGTTGTTGTTGTTATTATGCGGGTTATCAGTAAACTCTATGCACATTCTGCTCAGATGTGAAGCTGATACCAGAGGTCTTCCAGTCTTTGAACAACGATGACAAGCGACTGCAGAAGGTGCGCGTCATCCTGCTGACCCCAAAGTGCTCTGTGTCTGCAGTCAGCAACCCGGTGGACTTCATACTGCAAGAGAATGGAGGTACATAGTGATCTGTACACATTTCAGAAATACATGTAGTCATTTAGTGTACATAACATCCTGGTGTGTATGGCTGAAATAGAACAGAGGCACAAACAGTTGTATAAGATGCTGTGTTCAGTGCACTCACAACGGTTAATACTTCAAAACAATAAACACACCAATTAATATTGAATGCAAGTTATGCAAATTCATAACCCTATTCATCTCTTATTACTACTCCAACACACTTAAAAAGGTCTGTTTCAAAAAGTAAATAAGTAATGCAAAAACGATTTAAAGTTATTTTAAAGTTTTAGTGCAGCCGCATTTATTGATAAGCATTAACATTAATTTATCAATACTTTTTCTGTTTAATCAGAAGATGAATTTCTATGTTTTTCAAACTTCTATTTGCGCGTTTTATAGTTGTGTTTAATCAAGTTTTGAAAATACTTGTTGACCATCCACACACAAAGCTTTCAGTCTGCAAACTGAACCCTTTAGCGAACCTTTCAAAGCATCCCTTTCATCTACATATATGGATATCAATTATATTATACTTTCACAAAAATGACCCGTTCTAATGCTCACCAAACTCCACGCTAATAAAACGGAGATTCTGCTCTTCCTCAGACACAGAACTGCTGCAGGACTTATCTCAGGGCTCGATCGCCCCGAGCAGACTGCAAGCTCTGGTGGCCCAGCAGAGGAAGGATATTGATCATGCCTTGAAGTGTGAGTGTCGAAACACCTGCTCTGATGTTGACATGCACACATGTGAGCTCAGGCCTCTCACACCTATCTGACACAATGGAGCTTATCCTTCCTAATGATCTAATCTGGTACGCCATTAGACTGAAGCCTGTGGGATCCCTGGGAGGTCGTCTGAGTCTTAATTAGGAATGTTGCTCTGTGCCAGTCAGCAACAATCTCCTGCAGCATCCCTCGCTTATTTTAAGCCACTGATAAGTTATTATGCCTAGTATTAAAAACATTCTATAGAACAGTATATGACAGAGGGACCTCATATAAAAGTGGTGCAGGAACGAGTCCTAAAACCCGGAGGTGAGTTAGCATTTGACCACTTCCGGTTCCCTCGTCTCTGAGTCAACGGGTTATTTGAACTAGTTTTTGGAAAATAGCTGGAAATAAGGTCTGTGGTTGACACAAATTGAAGAGACAGATCACGTGTTATTCTACGACATTAAATACATCAGCAGTGACCCCACTGGTGATTTTTGAAGAGTTTACGTGTCTGAAAAACGATGGTTGTTAACAAGTGGCTGAATAGGACTACAGAAGTTGTACGTCATTACGCCGAACACGTAACACTCCCGCTAAGTGTGTTTTCCCTGTTCTGCTTGAAAGCAAGTACCTGCGCTCTTGCAAACTGTTAAAACAAACGCTTCAACTTGCACAATTTTGAATATGTATTTTTGAATATCGATCTTAAAGGTAGGGTAGGTAAGTTTGAGAAACCAGCTCGAGATCGCTAGAATTTGAAAATACACAACCGGAGAAAATCTGCCACTTCCTTATAGAGCCCCTCCTCCAACACACACAAACGCGCACATGACCAATGAGGGCACGAGATAAGTTTGTGCACAGATGGAAGGCTGACAGGGAGGTAGGCCATCCAGTTATTTTAGCCGGGCCGGCTAAAATGATTGGTCGTGCTTTTTTACAGTATTACGGCTTCCACAGATGACATTTTTTTATGGATTTTTTGTCAAAGCACTTAAGATATTCATTGCTATCGGGATGTTAAGAGCATTCCATGGAATATAACAAAAAGTGTATCTCGAGCCGGTTTCTCAAACTTACCTACCCTACCTTTAAGTTGGCGTGACGTTGAAGTCATGCGACCCTGCTGTACTTTGCTGTAGTTCGTTGATAGCATAGCGTTAGCATTTTGCTTCTGGCGATTAGATTTATGATTAGAAAATTATAAAAGTAGGGTAGACATGTGGAGATTATCCGGCTGAACAAAACGTGCATTTATCAAACAGGTTCGTTTTCCACTAATCTTATTTTTTACAATATTCCAAAATCCTATGGAGAAATCCCATTGCTTTTTTTGTCGAGGGAGCCCATGCGCAGCTTATTTCGGGGTCGGCCTACAAAAATACGTCATCACTGCACCGCTCTATTGCTAAGTAACATAATGCCGATTCTCTGCAGGTGTCACAGTCAAGTCTTTTTCTCTTTGTTATTTTATATGCTGCATTTGATGGTATTCTAAGGCATGTAGCTGCGTTCATGATGTTCCCTCATTAGCTGCAGTCCATCTTGTATTCAGCGCTCCTCTCTCCGTGTTGGTCATGTTCATCGAGCAGTTGGAGTCTGTCTGTTAGGGGCTATGAAAAGCAGCTCCTCGAATCACACTGCCATCGATCAGCCCTCTTCTACGTTGTAGCCCGTGTAGATACTTTCTAATAGGAGTGTTAATTAATGATGGGTGTGTATCGAGTGCTTTGGCTTGGTTGAGTCGATGGTTTCGTTTCACCGACTCTAGATAAGCACACGCACAGACAGACGCTCACACACGCTTTTAACACACCTCTAAAGCCTTTTACGGGTGTGTTTTCGGGACGTCTGAAGAGTCAAATGTTTCTCCCTCAGTCGTCTCGTCTTTATGACTGAGTTCCGCTTCCTTAGAGGTGATATTTCACATTTAGTTTGGTACCGATTTGCCACATCTGAGCAGGTTTTATTTCTTATCAGCTTGGCGCTAATTGTTTCTCTCTGGCTATAATTAGTGAGCATAAAAAAGAAATCTAATTACCAATAGCTCTACAAATCTACAAGCCAGCAGCAGTTGGATAAAATGAGCCACGTATATACACATAGGGTACTGAGGAATTAATTTTCATTCCTTCAAAGGGCGCTTGATGAGCAGGATGGCTCAGCTGGAATAATCCCATTTAATTGTCATTCATAAGAGAGGAAAATGCTTATTGCCTGAATATGTGTTGGTTTTTCTGCTTCTATTGGACATATTATAAGTAGGATGTTGTTATAATGTCAATCAAGCATCTTTATTTCACTGTATTGGTTTTATTTGTCACATATCTTCAGATTTAAAGTGCAAAACACAGATAATTTAAAGAACTATCTACATAATACATGCCAAATGTTGATGTCATGCTTATGTTTCGTTTAGTTCCGAGGGTTTTGTCAGTGGTGTACTCAACCTGTTCATCATACAAAGAGGAGAATGAAGAGGTAGTGAGCAGAGCACTGGAGCACGCCAAGGCCCGCTCAGAGCAGGAGGGGGAACCCAAACAAGCAAACTTCAGGTCAGCCTCCAGTCTCTGTACCCCAGTACCCCCCCGGTGCCCTCTCTGCTTCTGTTCCTGTCGTTGTCTTTCTGTGTCTGTTTGCCTCGCTGTCTGTCAGCCTGCTGGGTTGTTTGTCTGTTTCCCTCCAGACACGCTTCTGTCAAAGTTTCAGCTCATCTCATGCTGGAACTCAGGGAGGAAAAATAATCAAAGGGGCTATTTTATGTCTCTAAAAGCTGTGAGAAAGCAGGAGAAAAACATTGTTCAGACAGCTTCTCTTTTCAAAGACGTTCTTTATGTGTGGGGTTTAAAGAACCTACGACTTGTTGAACTTTACCACTCCTGTAGATCTGATTGTACCAAGTCTTACTCCTTTTCCTACTGAAAGCTGGCCTGGTGTTCAGCCAACGCCGAATAAATAAAACATAATTCATATTATTGTTATGCATCACTCTGTCTTTGCTAAGATAACCAAACACACCATACAGTATAAAGCAAAGCATGTCAAATAAATAGTGCATTTACTTGAATACATTACATTTCATTTCATTTGATTTACAATAAGGGGAAAAACCATAAAGATTCAAACTCCGAATAACTAGGAAAGTGCAGATATATTCACTTCAAGCAAGTCATACCATTTTAAGTGCTGGTGAATTAGTTACACAGCTTAAATTAGCTTTGTTTTCTCAAAAATATATTGCCAAGGTACAATTGAAACAGATGCGTTTTCAGTTTGCTACGGAGGATATGCAGAGTTTCTGCTGTCCTGATGTCAATGAGGAGCTCATTCCAACATCTAGGAGCCAGGATGTGTTTTTGAGGGCTACCTGGGTCCCACAGTGTGTTTTTGTGCAGTGTATTTTCCCGTTTTGTATGTGTTTTTTCTCTAGGCTTTCTCCATCCCCGTTCAGTATTCCTGACGATGCAGCGGGCCCAGAGGAAACAGAGCCCTTCTTCATGTTGGAGCCCTCAGAACAGAGCAATGGCTGCTTTCTGGCTGTTCTCAGTAAAGAGGTAAGCATATCTTTAACAGAAACCTCACAGAGAAAGGCTGAGGTACTGACAAAGAAAGGATGTTCTCTCAACACTAGACTTATCTACCTCAAGATGTCAAGGGTCAATTCAGCATTTTAATCTTTGATTAAGTGACCACAATATGACCATCAGAAAGGAGGAGTGATGCAGGAATCATAGTGTGTGGACCTCAGACTGCATCGATTTGGGTCACTTTGAAAGCAAAGTGTAAAAAGATTGGTGACAAAACTGACAGAGGGGCGGGATTTAGAGAAGAAGTGCCAATTACAAATCAGTCAACGGACAGCGCCATTGGTCTAGAGCAGGGCTCTCCAACACGTCGATCGCGAGCTACCGGTAGCTCGCGGGCAGCTTTTCAGTAGCTCGCCGCTCGATTATTGATTATAGCGTAGTAAGGTTGCTTATTGATTTTTCGGCCGCGGCTGGACAATAACGTTTTTTTATTTTAGAATTTTTTCTGTCACACGAATATCAAATGGTCGGTGACGCAGAGATCAAGGAACAGACGTGACAGCAGCACAGCGACAACACACACGGAGCAGTCTGCTTTCTCCACCAGCACCAGTCCAGAACTAACAGCAGAATGACCCGCTCTGAATCAGGCCCTGTCGCTGCGCGTCAGAGACACACAGGGAGGGATTTGTGTTTTTTGAAAAACACTCGTTATCGTCATGTCAGGTTTTTGGTGGATTTAATCAAGTCTTGGATTGCAGAGTATGAATGTCCTCTTGCTATTTTCAGTTGATAAATACTTGTGTAAAGTTTGTGAAGGCAGGAGGAAAGCTTCCGCGATCACCGTCTCCTCTCCGTTCCTCCAAACCCCGCCCCCTCCCTGAAAATAATGAGTGACAGGCTGATAGTGACCCGATAGAAACTTTATTATTCACTTAATCACTGATTGAGATATGATGAAGCTAACTTAATCTCATACATTCATGGGATTTATGTAACAGTAAGACAGAGAATGTAAGTGTGCACCCACATGCACTATTTTTGTTTTTATAATGCTATTGTAAATACTCCTGCTGTTTTCAGACTCAAGTCCTGTGTGTGATGCATTCAAGACATTCAGTGTCTTTTTTTTTAACAGAAGACTGTAGCTAGAAGCTGCAGCTAGACTGCAGAAGTATTAGTTTTTTGTTTTTGAGGATGGAACCATTTTCACACACAGATATAGGGAGGCTAGACCTATACAATTAATTTATTATGGTTTATAATTTAATGTCAAGACGAAGAAGAAGAAGAAAAAGATGGCTGAACAACTGTTCAGTGTCAATCCTGTGGAGATCTCCAAAATAATGTTCAGCTTAAGTCTCAGCAAAACTCACAACATTTCTGGAGCCTTGTAGACCCCGAAAACTATAGAACATTCACCAAGCAGCACTGAAAATGTCTGCTTTATTTGGTTCTGTTCTACATACCTTTGTGAAGCAGCTTTTTCTGACATGAATGAAATCTAAATACAGAACAAGACCAACTGATGAACATTTAAATGACTCTATTCTATGACTCCAGCATACACCTCTATGGTGGACTGCATGCAGTGCCATTCATCTCACTAACAAAAGAGTGAAATGCTTGTAAGGTGGTGATTAAGGACACTTATGTGAATGTTCAGTGATGTACTTATTATGTGGGCCATAATAATATGTGAGAAATCTTCGTTTTCTTGGACCTTATTTTTGATAAGCTTTAGGTATTGCAATTTCACACGTGTACAAAAGTATAGCTTAATTCAACTGATGAGGGCTATGTGAATAAATGTAAGCGATGTGATGCAAGTAGCTCTTGGCCACTTTCATTTTTTGAAAGTAGCTCTCAGATGAAGAAAGGTTGGAGACCCCTGGTCTAGAGCTACTGCTGCTATGGCTCTCAGGCAGTGAGACAAACAAAGAGACAAGCAGGGAACACTTTAGCTTGATTAGCATTTAGCTCAGCAAGCCGCCTGGTCTTACATTAGCCCTGGACCTGACCTTTCTGGTGTGTCATTTGGCTGACTGCTATATTTTTCAGTGAAAGTGTTTTCACTGACTCACTCATCCGTTATGTCTGCTGAAGAACTAACTCGTCCTTCACTTTCGTACTTGAGTCCTGAAAATCCCCCCGGCGGTTGGCTCTGTCATAAAACACCCAGGTGTGGACAGAACGGAGACAGAGGGACAGAGGTTTGATAAGTGAGCCCTGAGACAAGAGTGGGAAATATGATCAAGCAGTTACAATGCGCTATCTATCAAAAACTATTTATCCACTAGGAAACGTATTGTCGAAAAGGAGACAGAGATAAGGATGTCTTTTTGTTTGGGCAGAAAGGGTAAGGCGATTTGGGAACCAGAACACAGAAGTTGAGATCAGGTCAAAAGGAGCGGGCTGTGACAGGTACTTGGTCAAACCCCTAACCAGAAAAAAGTGAAGAACAAAAAAAAAGCTGCTAGAATAAAAACTAGAATGTTGGGTCTCAAACGCAGGCGACTTCTTCGAGTGTAATCTGCCACCGAGAGAGAAAGATGAATTGGAAAAAAAGCTTTAGAAATAGAAATCAATAGAAGGAGGATGAGATGAGAGGAGTGAGGGGGGGAGGTTTGCTTTAGAGCAGAGAGAGAGCAGTCTTACCAAAAAAAGAACAACAAGTACAATCCACTTTTTTGTTTGAATGAATGAAACTCAGAAATGAGACACAATAGAAGTGTCTTTAACGGGTTTGACTTTATTGTAGCAATGTAGTTTCTAAAATGAGCTTCCTCATACATTTTGTGACTCTTTTATGAACATATTTCATTGGAAAGCACTCTGTCTCCGGCTTTATTGTTTTGTCATGTGACAAGTCTCTCTCGCAGTTTTCTTATTTTAGCCAAACTCAATCTCTTTTCCCTTTTAACACCTCTGGTTAACCCTCTCTCCTCCTCTGGACAAGTCTGTTTGACCGGGCTTCCCCACATCCTCATAATCAACAAAACAGCCACGTTTACGACACGCTCCGTCACAATATTTAATATGCTCTTATGCTTTTGATTCCTGCGCAGGGTTATTAAGCCATCTCACTCCCACTGGGTGTGACGGAGCGCTCTCGCACTGTGTGTCTGTTGCTTTCGGGCCATTCATCATGTTTTATACCTCCGCAGACAGGAATGAAAAGATAATCAAACTGCTGTAATGGCGCCTCAAACTGGATTTTTTTTCTCCCTACCTACAATAAACTCAGCTAATCAAAAGTTATTGTGGCACTTTGAAAAGCGCCATAAAAATGGCAATTATATAAGTGTTTGAATGCTGTCTGGCTAACATCGACTGTCATAGTGGTAACAGTAAAATTATTTATGAGCTCTCAGAAACAGCTGGAAATGATGAAGAGTCAAATAATGTGTTTCTGGCCTTATTTCCAGAGAAAGTAGACTCTCTTCTTAAAGTTCCCAAACTCTGAATTATGAATTTCAACCAAATTCATAAAGGATTCAGAACCCAATACTTCCATTTTGATTTGTTACATCCACCGAGACTGGACTGTTATTCATGGAACTTAGTGAAAGGGTGTAGCATGGGCCAAGGAAGGAGCAGAACTGAAACATGGGGGCGAAAACTCAACCTATTTTTTACTTTCATTAACATTGCAATATACGGCATGGCAGTGATCTGCGCTCTGAGTGCCCTCCAGATTTCTTCAGGCTACACTGTGGCAGCTAAGTTTGGCAAAGTCTAGAAGGAAATGAGAGATTTGCAGAGTATGGCATAGTTGGTTAGTGGAGATGGGGAGGAAGTGCAGGGGTAAGGGGGAAGAAAGGGAGGCGAGGGAGGCAAGGGAGAGTGTCTGTTGAATAATTCAGCGGCCCCTGTCTGTATGAGTTAGCTTCAATGAAGTTCAGAGCGTCCACCAAAGACTGCATTACAGTGGAGCTTCTGAAGCCTGTTTACCTGTGTGTACAGAGTGTATCAACACAAATAACTACATCCATATTCTGCAAAATGCACTGGTACCAGAGTTCCCGTTAGCCGGTAATTACCGGACAATGACCGGTAAAATATGCTGAAGTCCGGCAAATCTAAATCTCTCCGGTCAAAATGTCCGGTCAAAATAATTTTCCCTTAGCGCAATACCGCATCAGTTGCGCCACTTATGTGACAGACAAGAATAGTATGTGACAGACAAAAGAGTATGTGACAGACAAAAATTGTCAATTCTAATGTCTAACACTTAATGTGGAGAAAGAGATGTCCTGTATGGGTTGATTGTGCGTTGATCTGTTGGTAATGCCTCGGGGTTCCGGTGGGCATGTAAACAAATGCATAATGCTGCGCTATACTTTGTGGCCTCATCCGGTTGCATAGCGACGCTTATTGTTTAGGTGTCTTTTAACAAGCAGGTAGTCATATCATTAGCTAGAACTAGCTAGATCTGATCGATATGGACATAAATGCGAGTAAAGTCTAATCTGACAGGAGAGAGAGATCGGCTGCTGCTGACGAGTCGACACGCAGCTCTGCATGATCCCCTGCAGCGGCGAGCAGAGCAAAACACACTTCAGGTTAGAAAATCACACGTAGCTATTTTAATTACCTCTCAAACTACCTAACTAGTTATAGATATGTTTAGTTTTACTGTCGGGTCACTCATTACTGGATCCGCGAGCTGCATGATACTGACGGGCTGTCAGGAGAAGGAGAGAGCGCTCCGTTTATTATTCCCGCGTTTTTGTAAATTACTGTACACTTTTGAATAATGTAGTTAATCTACTATAATTAGTTTGTTTAATGTCGAATCATATCAATTTGTTTTAAAGCTCAATAAATAACAAAGAAGACCTTTAACCGGCACTTATCTAATTTTGTCCGGAAGATTTCAACTTTAACGGACATGTTGACCGGCAAAAAAATATTCTAACGGGAACTCTGACTGGTACACCTACCAGCATGCACATCTGCCTGTGTACATAAAAGTACAGCTTACACAAACATATATATGCATTAAATTAAATTAGGAGCAAGCACTTAAAAACAAGATACACACATAAACCCACACAGGCTGCATGTCCCCGTAGTGTACACTGCGCTTGTGAATAATTCAGGCGTTGAGGAGAGCAGGAGCTGCTGTGTGGTCTGCTGAGACAGCAGGTGACCCTGCAGCCAGCAGCAAGGACACGGTGGCTCTGCTCTTCTCCTTTAACAATATAACATGTGTTGTGCAGCAGCAATAACATTTATTCAAATGTGTTCGGCAAGGTAAACACATTTATTTTTAGTATAACCATTAATTATTGATACATATTCTCCTTAGTGCCTAAACTATTTGAATAAATGATAAAGGTACTTTTTAGGGCAGATAAATCCTTGTGTCAGCATACAGTTCTCTTATGATGCCACCAGATGTCTTATTAGAAGAACAATGTTAATGACATTTGAGGTTTTGGTTAGTGAGGTCTTATTGCTGTATGCTTTAGTAAACAAAATGTTTCATTCATTAATACGTTTTGAACCTTAAAAAGATTAGGTCACGTCAAAATAAAAACAAAAAACATTGCTTTTGTCTTTTACTTTCCAACAGCCTGAGCCAGTGGTCAAAGAGGCCCCACAGGACGTGATTGTCAGAGCAAATGCTAAAGGCATACTGGAAAGGATCGGCACCAAAAAAGAACATCACGGACACACCAACAGGATGAAAAAAACAAGCCATGTTCCCAACTCTCAGCCTCAGTTCTCTGCTGTAAAGAACCAGGAGACCAAGGGCAGCAACAGCACTAGTTTGTGTGGAAAGGAGTTTACTAACAGGCGGCCGTCACTGCAAGGTGAGCGAGGTTACTGCATATCTTAAGTCAGTTGTATTATGAAACAGAAACATTGAGCTACTTTTAGCTACATGTTTATATCATTATGAGAGTGGTATCAATCTTATTCCAATTCGCAGCAAAATACTGATAGGCCTTTTAATAAAATAAAAAAGTGGAACAAACAGGGAATTTGGTCCTAAAATGTGCTCATTTACAACATTTTTTCTCATTTGTTTTGTCCTTCAGGAAAAGCCAACGCAATGCGCGTGCAGGTCTCAAAGAACACCGGGTCCAGCTCCTTCTCTTCCACCAAACCAGGAAACATCACACCCAAAAGAAGCCTCTCCCCAATATTGGACATCCCAACTTCTTCCCCCAGGACGCATTCGGCAACTCCCCCCACCCCCCCTCCTCCGACCCCAGCGGTCCGTACCCGCAGACCCCCCCAGGAGCCGCTGAAGCCCGTGGTGCTCGTCCTGCCCACCATTCATTTCCCCAGCTTCTTTCCAGCTCATCCCAACTACAACAAGTGGAGGGACCCCGCCCAGAGCGCCCCCCTGTCCCGTTCCAGTGGGGGTCTCTCCAAGGATGCTATGGTCAAATCCCGGCCTCTGTTTTGAGCTCAGAAACAGAAATATAAAAAAGTATTGAGAATGAACTTTTGTGCCAAATGCTTACTTATCCAAAGTCACTAGCATTCAAATCGAACACAAGCATACACACAATGTTGTTGATCTGCCAAATTACAAAGAACATGTGAAACGTCTCCTTGAACGCTTTCTAGAGCCATTAATACTTCTCATTACCGCAATGTCATTTTTATAGTGTCTTTGTGTGCCTTAACGAAACAACCTGCCACGGTCAGAATATAATCAGATTGCGTATATTAATAAGGCTCGGACGATGTCACTACGTGATGAATAGCTTTTACATAGAGCTCCACTGACCCGAGAATTAAAAGGACGTACTCAAGAAGCTACTCTTTTCTTTTTGGTAATGCATTTATTGTCACAACAGATTACATTTACATGGTGTCGAGATGAGTGAAGAACAGAACTGAAATGATTTAGAGCATCTTTCTCTTTGTGTGTGTGTGTGTCTTTTCCATTCAGATCGAACTGCATTCCCAGAGTTCATGTGGAGTGCAGGTTGTAGCCACGAGCTACAGACGCAGTGTGACAGCAGACTCTTTCTCCTACTGCTGTATGTGCGCATGTGTGTGTGTGTGTGTTTTTTCTTTGTGAGTGGGAGTAGACTGGCTGGATTTACAGAGGAAGAGAGAATAAAGTGAACCCTTACACAGATTACCCTTGGGAAATATTTGATAACACTGCCACTCGTCTGCCTAAGTCAAAGCCTGGATCTGGGTTTCCCTGCTACCACATACTGTAAGTCTTAGGTGTATGCATAAAGATTCCTGAGGAAATGTTAAGTTTGACAAAGCAATGTAACATTCTTGAACATTAAAAACTTACTTTCTTTATAATTGATGCAAAAACTTACAATCTTAACTAATTAAAAGCTTCAAAATACATTACAAATGATTACATTTGGTTTGCTGATTTATGTATCCATCAGTAATGGAAAGCAACATGTGTTGACTTACAATCTTTAAATGTGATTCTGTAAATTGAGCTGAGAGTAACCTTTTACTCAGGTATGGGTCAGAAAAAGGCCAAATAAAAAATCCAGTCATGGTCAAATTAAGATGAGTTGTGCTAAGAGCATCGTGTGTTTTACCACTCTTCTTACGAGACCTTTTTTAACTCATTAGCTTAAAACAATACCCCATCAAGAAAACATGCAAAATCAAAACCCACATCTGTCTCATTTCCTGTCACCAACATCTCATCTGTCCCTCATATCTACACGTTTTGTGCCCTAAATGTTCTCTTCCTACATACAATCATTTACATACACTTCATTATTACAATCATTTCAATCATCCTCGCGGGGATGTGTGTTTTAAGTCTGACGCACATCGAAGGGACAACATATTTCAATGCCGTTTGGTGGAATGGAGCGTGTTGGCAGGTCTTGGTTTCTTTTCTTCTTTTAAAATCCCTAGACAGCATGTCGACATCTTTTCTGTCCTAGAAGGCTCCCGTGGTTTGGTGTCTCAGGCGTCCAGTCGAATGCTCTTACTGTGCTGATGGATGTTTTTACATTGAGAGACATAGCATGAAAGAAAATGGAGGGCACCGATGAGTGGTTCCATAAACCTTTTCTTAATAGAAATGTTATCTTTTTCTTATTTTCTAATCCTGATCCGTGTTTGTCGAGTGTTTTAATTCGTTTTCCATCACCAAATCCACATACAGTGAGGGCATATGAAGCCAGCAGGTGGTTTACACATAGACACAGCAGCGGTCAAAGGTCAAAGGTCGATCACTGACACCAGCTTTTTAATTCCTCCTCACGAATCAGGAGTTTTCTTGTAATCTTTTTAAATATTATCAGGCGGACTGAAGGATTGTTCTTCTCCTTCATCTGCGGTGGTGTTTGTTAACATGTATGTACATCGTTGGTTACCATGGCTGGTACTGATTAGGTGTTGTCGTGGCGACAGTGTGTGAGTGGCGTCCAGGTGTGCAGTTGCCACGGTGACGGTCATTGCTGGGGGAGTTCTGAGGGCTGTTTCTTGGTTTTCAGAGTGTCTATGAGAGACAGGACGCCCCGCTTCACGCTGGTGGTCACCCGGCGGGTCACTGAGTCCGCAGAGGGCGAAGAGGAGGAGGAGGAGGAGGAGCCGGCGCGTTGGGGGGGCGGCCGAGCCACCAGACACTTCTGATACCGCAGCTGAGGAAGAGGAGAAGAAGAGTCTTCATCACTTGGGTTTTAAGGAGAAAAACGTTTACCCATTTGTGCCCAAAGACTATATTTAGCATGAAAAGGAAAAATGCAAATGCGTTCTGATTGATATAAAGAACATAATGTTCTTAGATACCAAGCGCTTCATTTAGTAGCTTGATGTTTCTGAGATACATCAATTGTTCTTATCATACTCTATTTAGTCTTTTGGCACCGTTTTTCCTGAAATGTAAAGTAAAGAGAGTAGTTCCATTGCCTAAAGACTGAATATAGAATGATAAAGAAAACTCACTTTTGGTTTGACCTCAGCTGTTTCGCTGAGAGTTAGAAGAGTGATATAATTAACATGAGAGCAGAATCAATCTTCTCATCTAACTTGGCAAGCTAGCCAACCAAACAATCAGTTTTCAACACAACATCACCTCATCTTTATTAAAAAAAAAAGGACTTACTACGCATGCTGCCTGCACAGCCTCAGACACATGGCCTGCATTGGGTTCGCACCAGAATGCATGGCACTGGAAATGCTGGCTCCCAGTGTCCATAACGAAGGCGAACGAGTGCACATCTCGTCCCACGCCCATGAAGGACAGGAAACGGACTCGACACTCCACCAACACCTCCTCTTCCTCCTCCTGCACACACAAACAAGAGCAGAGTTAGATCTGAAACACTGCTCTATTAGATTTTCCTCTTTAATCTACAAGTGCATCCACATATTTTATTCATCTGTTACTCCTCAGGGGAGCAACAAACAGCCCCTTGCCTTTTTTTCTTTGATGACAGCCATAGTCGTGTCAGCAATACTCAATGTGACTGGAGTCCAGTCCTCTTTGCCTGTGGAGGACAGGAGGTTTTCTAAGGCTCCATTTATGACGTCCATCCCTGAGGAGGAAACACAGGAGAGCGTGAACAGTGAGAGCAGGGTGTGTTAATATGACGTGTGTGTTTGAGTATGAGTGCAGGTTTACCTATGGGGCGAGACACAGTCGTCATCCCCATGTACAGCACATGGAACTTCTGCACCAACTCAGTCTTTGGCAAGGGAAACTCTGCAGAGAGAAAACACACACACACACACTCGCATTAAAACACACACACATTAAAACACATACGCATTAAAACACACACGCATTAAAACACATACGCATTAAAACAAACGCATTAAAACACATACGCATTAAAACACACACGCATTAAAACACATACGCATTAAAACACATACGCATTAAAACACACCCGCATTAAAACACACACGCATTAAAACACACACGCACAAACCGCCGCAGGGAATTTTATCACACGACGACATCTAAGGCAAAGTTCCAAAAGTAAAGTCCACACATGATAATTGGCTAAAACTAGGGGAAATAAACAAACTCTGGTGAATATTTTAATATTTGAGTGTGCTGTTGACATGATTAGGGCATGAGAAAGATATTTGCACACGAGGATGCACGTTTCTTTTAGTTTTCTGCATGAAAACCCAGCTGTGCCTGTCTAATGGCCTCAAGGCAGAAAGCATGATCAAAGATGTGCATCACCTGCATCCCAATCAGCACAGACATTAACATCATTTACCCTCAGGAAGTCCCCATTTACACACCAGGCAATTAGCTGTGTAAGCTGGAGATAACCTCTGACAAGGTAACATACCAAACACTAAACATGGCTAATTGCTTAAAGACAAAACCATTATTATTACAATACATTAAAACCAAACCAGAAGAATCCCTCTCAAATGGGGGTCATTCATTATTAACTTTAGCTCTATTGCTAGTCAACATGGATTTAGAAAATGAGGGCCAATTGTAATATGGAATTATTTATGATTGAGTCATAATTAAATTCAGCTCAGTGTGCAACTAAGGACATTTCTACACATACTTATCAACATCTGTAATAGTAGTAAAACTGTAATATTTAATAGATGTTATAGCCATTAAAAAAGGACATATGATGAATGTAACAGCAGGCTATGAAGCAGTGTTTGAATCCCTGAGTTTTTAAGCCCTTTTTCAGCTCTGACCACACGTCACATGGTTCAAGTTGGTTGTGCTTTGTTGCACCTTTAACCGCGTCCAACAGTGATGTTAAGCCTACTTGCACATCAGTGAGGCAAGGTGAAGAGTTAAACCACTGGAGGTTGGCTAAAGTTCCCTTAAGCTATGACAAAAGGACATTTTCCTCATTATGACTTTCAGCCCATTTTGCACAATCCACATCTTAATTACTGAATTTCAAAAATTATCAATTTACCAGAAACTCATCTCCGTTGGGTCATTTGGAGTGAAAATGGAAATCAAATCACCTCATCAGTGTAATCCATGAAAAAGTTGGAGTCCCTAATATCTCACATGTTCAGCTCTCTCATGAATGATGAGACATATAAAGCAGAGCTCAGACAGTCCAGATCCAACGAGGACAGCAGGGCTATTTCCTGAGTTGGCGCTCACCCCATATCATTCAGTGCTAATCTCCTAAAATGCGTCCCAACACAGGATTGTGCACAACACTGAAGAGATCTAATCCAGGCGAGAACAAAAACAGTTTTTTCTTCCACTGGCAGTGAATCAACCTCTAGAGCCCATGGACCAGTCTATCCACTGTAGCACGTCTCACTGAGAGCACACTAGCTTTTCAGTTAAAAGAATATGAAATCAAGCTTAATAGTTATAAAACATGTGAGGAATGTTTCACCAAAAAGTGCTTTGATCCTGGGGTTGGGATGGCTGCCATGTAGCACCAGGCCTCGCCTCAAAGAAACACTAATTGGGTTTTAATGAGGTCGACTGCCTCAGTAAGTGAAGAGCCGATATACTTCTTTTTATAATCTTATGCTCCTATCCCTCACGCTCAGCAAACACACAGCAGCTGGCGTTACAGCAGAGGAGGAATTGGGCTAGAGCTTTTTCTCTTTCTTCCTATAATTACTTGGGACTGAGAGGAACAAGCAGTGGGACTTAGCGAAATGGGAAATGGTGAATAGAATTAGCGCTGCGAGGATAACGCTCAGTGATTGTGAGGCGTGGAGTCAGCGGTATCTGTGTGTAATGGAACCAAACACTGCTATCTTTTCTATTAACAAATGTTCACGGTCGCTCCTGAGGCGATAAGGTCATTTAAGAAAAGAAAATGCATATACACACATATATAAAGTCTATATGTATGGTTTGAGAAATGCAATAATGTGAGACAAGAAACCACAGCATGAAAGATACTGTAGCACATAGCTGAGAAATGTGTAGTTCTCACGAGGGAACTACAAAAGAACAAGACTGTGTGTGCGTGTGTGTGTGTGTGGTTGTATGTGTGTGTGTGTGTGTGTGTGTGTGTGTGTGTGTGTGTGTGTGTGTGTGTGTGTGTGTGTGTGTGTGGTGTGTGTGTGTGTGTGTGTGTGTGTGTGTGGTGTGTGTGTGTGTGTGTGTGTGTGTGTGTGTGTGTGTGTGTGTGTGTGTGTGTGTGTCTATGTGTGTGCATACCTTGTAAGGGTACATCGGAGCCGGTCTGGGAGGAGCTGCCAGCTGCAGCCTTGGCACTTTTCCTTTCAGCCATAATCTAGGTATAAAAGAATGAGTGGGAAGAAAGAGAAGACAAAAAAGGGTGAGGAATGAAAACACAGAAGAGGAAAGCTACCGACTGTGAATGTGGGAATGACAAGCAGTTATGGTTGACATTGGATTGGACCCAACAGCGGTTAGATTGTCTCACAAAGAGTTGGCGAAAAACAATTCTATGCGACAGAAGACATGTAAAAAAGGTTACAAATATATACTTAAAATGTCCCCCATAAACTGTTTTGTCAATGTACTGTAGTTGTTGTAACTTAAACAGGAGTTAACGTTGTATTTATTGTTCTTCTCCATGATCTAAGTGTGCTCGTATCAG